ACATTGTCACAGGTAGTTTTGGGTACATGCCGTCAGTCTCCTCCCTCCCTCCTTGAAAGCAACGGCAAACAATCATTTTGCGCCTTTTTTCCTGGGTTATCCATGCAGACGCCATAGCACGGCAAGCATGGAGCCCCCCTCAGCTGCACACTGCTTTTGTGAGCATTGTAAACACCTCGTGCATTATCCTGCAGTATGTGCAGAGCCTAGCTAGGAGCCGCCAGCACGAGGAAGATTGTGAGGAGGACACGGACACAGATGTTCCTGAAAGCATGGAACGTGGCAATTGGGATATCATGGAGGCATTGGAGCATGTTAATAAAGTGGAACGCTGATTCTGGGTCTGGCAAACAAGCACAGACTGGTGGGACCGCATAGTGTTGCAGGTATAGGATGATTCCCAATGGCTGTGAAACTTTCGCATATGAAAGGCCACTTTCATGGAACTTTGAGTTGCTTTCCCCCGCCCTGAAGCACAAGAATACCAAGATGAGACCTGCCCTGACAGTTGAGAAGCGAGTGGTGATAGCGCTGTGGAAGCTTGCAACGCCTGACTGCTACCGGTCAGTAGGGAATCAATTCAGAGTGGGCAATTCTACCATGGGGGCTGCTGTGATCCAAGTAGCCAGGGCAATCAACATCCTTCTGCTAAGAAGGGTAGTGACTAGTGGATCACAAGGGCCATTTCACCAACATGGGATGGGTCAGGAAAGGTGCAGGACGCTCACATCTTTCAGCACTCCGGGCTGTCCAGAAAGCTGCAAAAAGAAACTTTCTTCCCAGACCAGAAAATTACCATTGGGGATGTTGAAATGACAATATTTATCCTTGGGGACCCAGCCTACCCCTTGCTCCCAGGGCTCATGAAGCCGGACACAGGCAGCCTGGACAGCAGTAAGGAGCAGTTCAAGTACAGGCTGAGCAAGTGCAGAATGGTGGTAGAATGTACCTTTGGACGTTTAAAGGGGAGCTGGCACAGTTTTCTGAGTAGGTTAGACTTCAGCAAAAGCAATGTTCCCATTGTTATTGCTGCTTGCTGTGTGCTCCATAATATCTGTGAGAGTAAGGGGGAGACGCTTATGGTGGGGTGGGAGGTTGAGGCAGATCACCTGGCAGCCAATTTTGAATAGCCAGACACCAGGGCAATTAGAAGAGCACACCGAGGTGTGCTGCGCATCAGAGAGGCTTTGAAAAACAGTTTCACGACTGACCAGGCTACGGTGTGACGGTGTCAGAGTGGTAGCCGTGTTAGTCTGTATCAGCAAAAAGAACGAGGAGTACTTGTGGCACCTTAGAGACTAACAAATTTATTTAAGCATAAACAGTTGTGTGTGTTTGTCCTTGATGCAAACCCGCCCCCTTTGGTGAATGTACTTCCCTGCAAGCCAATCCCCCTTCAACCACAAGTGGCACAGGAAATAAAGTCCCTATTGTTCTGAATCCATTCATTATTTATTAAAAAATGCAATGCTGACTAGTAAAAGGAAGCCCGGGTGTACAAAGGGTTTGATAACGGATGCGGTGGGGGGGGAAGGAAAGGACAAGGCCACGTTGCTTATTGTAGTCACACCACAAATCAAAGCTGTTTGAATGACAGCCTTCTGTTGCTTGGGCCATCCCCTGGAGTTGAGTGGCAGGGTGCCCGGAGCCTCCCCCCGCATTCTTGGGCGTTTGGGTGAGGATATGGAACTTGGCGAGGAGGGCAGGCGGTTACACAATGGCTGCAGCGATGGTCTGTACTCTAGTTGCTTTTCCTGCAGCTCAACCAGATGCCCCATCATGTCCATTTGCTCCCCCATTAGCCTCAGCAACTCCTCCTGTGTGTTCCGATCACGCTCACTGTATGCTTTCCTGGCCTCTGCCACCAAATGCCTCCATGCATTCAGCTGTGCCCTATCAGTGTGGGAGGACTGCATGAGCTCTGAAAACATGTCATCGCAAGTGTGGTTTTTTGCCTTCCAATCTGCGATAACCTCAGGGACGGAGTTGATGTGGGGAGTATAGAAGCATTTGCAGCTGCGGGGGGTCGGGGGGAAGGGAGAGTAGACTTTTAAGAAGATACATTTTTGAGAACAAAAGGGAGACTCTTTCACAGTGAATCAAGCAATTAACAGCCAGCCAGCACATGTGTTTTAGGTACAAGGTCGCATTTTGCCTTTTATATTGAGCACCTGCCAGTATGGTAACATCACACACGGCTGGGCAATAGAATTTGGTTTCCAGGCAGCCATGGTAAGCCAAAAGGTGGGGTTGGCTTCTTCCGCATTCATAACATGTGGGAATGGTTTCAAACTGCAGCACCCTCCTTTCCCATAGCAACCAATGTCGATTGTGTTTGCCATTTAAAAGTAGGGGCTGCATTTAAAAGGAGGGGCTGCGGTTGCTGTTTAAAAGGAGGGGGAGCAGTTTTGGGGTGGATGTGCAGCACATCCCTCCCTATCCCCCCCATGTGGCTATTCTCCGGGATGATCCCTTTTAGCCAAGCGCAAACTGCCAAGCATGCCCAGGGTCTAATGTGTCGGGGATCACCAAACAGAGGATTACTGTTCCCTTACAAAACTTCCCCTATTTCAACCAGGTGACCATGAATGATATCACTCTCCTGAAGCTGACACAGAAAGATAAAGACCGAATGTTGCATGAATGCGACCAAAACCCAGGACCATTTGCTGCCATGCTTTGTGCTGCAATGATTCTAGACCACTTGCTACTGGTTTGGCCTGGTAAAGTGTCCTACCGTGGAAGACGAAATAAGGCAGCCCTCTCCAGAAACCTTCTGTAAAGGCTTTCAGAGTACCTCCAGGAGAGCTTCATGGAGATGCCCCTTGAGGATTCCCACTCCATCCCCAGACACGTTAACAGACTTTTCTATTAGCTGTACTGGTCGCAAATGCATCCCAATTGCTCAGGGCAAATCAAACATTAAACACAATTGCTTTTAACCCCTGTAATGTCGTTACAAATGTGCACTCACCAGAGGTGCCTTCTTGACCTTCAGGGACCAGGAACAATAGGCCCTGGGAGGGTATTGGCTCCAGGGTGAGGAAAAGGTCCTGGCTGCCGGGGAGAACGGATTCTCCACTTGCCTGCTGCGCATTCTCCTCCTCCTCTTCATCCACAAAATCCTTATCCGTGTTGCATGAGGCTGCCACCTTGCAGGTGTCCATGGAGAGTGTTGGGGTACTGGTAGGGTCCTCCCCTAGAATGGCATGCAGCTGATCACAGAAGTGGCATGCCTGGGGCTCTGCCCTGGAGCGACCATTTGCCTCCTTTGTCTTTTGGTAGGCTTGCCTGAGCGCCTTAAATTTTCACACAGCACTGCTGTGCATCCCTGGTGTAGCCTCTATCCACCATGCCCTGTGCAATTTTGGCATAGATATCTCAGCATTTCTTCTGCTGGATCGGAGTTCTGCCTGCACAGATTCTTCTCCCCATACTGCAATCAGATCAAGTGTCCCCAGTTCGCTGCATGCTGGAGCTCGTTTGCAATTCTGGGACTGCATGGTCATCTGTTCTGCTGAGCTTGCCACGCTGACCAAACAGGAAATGAAATTCAAAAGTTCCTGGTGCTTTTCCTGTGTACCTAGCTAATGAACTGGGAGTTGAAAGTGCTGTCCAGAGCGGTCACATTGGAGCACTCTGGGATAGCTCCTGGAGGCCAATGCCATCGAATTGCACAGCACTGTGTCTATACTATCCCAAATTAGACCCAGGAAGGTCGATTTTAGCACTACTCCTCTTGTCAGGGAGGAGTACACTGGTTGATTTTAAAGGCCCTTTAGGTCTGCGGAATGGGGTTGGTTGTGTAGACGCATTCATTATAAAAATCGATCTAACACGGCTAAATTCGACCTAACCTCGTAGTGTAGACCAGGCTTCAGTCACTTACAAATATTTTTAGAATAGCAGGAAAATTATAAACTATTGTCTAAGACAGATGACTGTGAGGGTGTGCTTACCTCTCTGGTGTCAAGTGTGTGCCACTGCCTCTGTTTCCCTATTGTGTCTCAGTTTCCCTCCTCTGGAGGTTTTCCTTGGGCTGGTAGGGTGATTTGGCCAAATCAAGATTCCTACTATCCACAGCAAATAAAAGTCCCCAAACCAAAACTATTTCCCTCTGTCTGCAGGGGTTCCTACATACCCTTTGCCCAAAGTCCTTCATCACTTAGACTTAGGTATCTTGACTTGGTTCTTTGCCCTTTATCTCAGGAGCTCATAAAGCTCTTCACCTTGGGCACCGTGGTTTTTCCCATCACTTCTAAGTGACACAGTAGGTTAGCCCAAGCTCTCCAACCACTCAAGGATCTGATCCTGGGACCCTGTGCTGAAAAGCATCTGTCTGTCCTTACACTACAAATTTCTATTTCATGGTTCCCAGGACTACCTCCTACTGTCTCCTTCCTCCCCAGGCCCTTTCCAGGCTTCTTCAGTCAAGCCCCTCACAGGATCTTCCTGGTGCCCTTGCAAGGGGAACCATTATTGGTCCTTTCCCAGATCCCAGTCACTGGAAAGCCTAACAGCAAGCTGCTGCTCTCCTATTACTTCTCCCACCAATGAACGGAACCTGTCTTTTATCCTGTCTCCCACTTCCCAACTGGCCTTGCTCCTCGTCTATGACCACCTGATCCTTCTCCACCAAGTTCCTTGACCTGGAAGAAAAGACAGGTACTGGCAGAGGCTGCGCCTGATCTTCCCTTTAAAGGCCCAGCTCGTCCTATGACAACAGCCTACTCACTTCTAAACATGAGGAACAAAGCTCCAAATTGCAACGTAGCTATGAACTGAAATAAGTGCCTTTGAATAGTTCTAATGGAGTAGTCAAGCATTCTAACCAGGTGGCCCTGACTTCTTTTGTATTCAAAAAATTTGTTAATGAAAAGAAATAGCAAGCACATAATACACGCAAATAGAGGGTGACCTAGAAAACCAATGCATTTTAATCGACTTGTTCATTACAAAGAAATGAATACTCCAGTCCAAACACCACGTTACCCACTCACCAAATGTCGGATTTTGTGTCATAACCTTGATGTTTCAGTGCCTCTGGGCTCATGTAGTAAGGTGTCCCAGTAAACGTAGTTGCCAGATCACACGATCCCATCAAGAGACGAGAAACTCCAAAGTCCCCTTAAAATAAAATTGTATTAAAAAAAAAACATACTAGGTAGGTAAGAAAATCTAGACTAAAAATCAAATCACGAATTCTAAACTTACTTTGAGTGACTTTAATATAACATTTTATAATTTAATATTATTTAAAAAATGTGGGGCCAGATCCTCAGTTGGTGTGAATTCTCTTAACTGTTGAAATCAGTGAAGCTATGATAGTTATCAGCAAGGATCTACCACTTGAAACACAAAAACTGGGGTAATTGAATGGCTCAGAGTATTGGTAATGAGATAGAGAACTTTTCACTTCTACACTGTTGATTCAAATGCAGCCCAAGCTAATAGTAAACAGAAGTTTTTTCCATCTTATGGCTGTCTGGTATATTAAATTGATTTGACAGAGTCAGTCCTTTTCCCCATGGATTAATGTCCATCCATCTCACAGAAAGCAGCACTAATAACTGGCAACGTTGCTTATACTCTCAGCAGAGATGCTAAGGATTGAAAGGGCCTGGAGAATGAACTTTCTCTCCCCTGTTGAGGTGATTCCTACAGTTCAAGGCCAAGGCATATTATCTAGGCAGTGTGGAGAATTTTGCACTGCTGATGCCTATGCATGCTGTACCTTTTAAATAGAAGATTTTGACAACTCGTCACCATGGTGATGGGTGCAGTAGAAAAATCAGAGATTAGGTTAGATCAAATTGCTACAATATCAGTCTGGAACCTTTCATTACCATGACATTCATATAAAAGAATGTTTAGAAGAAGTAAAAAAAAATTACTAATGAATTTAACTAACAATATGGCTGCGATTGACACAAACATACTGAGTATAAGAGTCAGTACACCTATCCCCCTTACACAGGGGAATAAAACAGATGCAGTGCATGAACATATGCACTTATACAGAAAAAGAAGGAACTGTTTTATAAGGGGAAAAAGTTATTGCTTTCGCAATTCTTTCACCAGAAAAGATTTTGAAAAGGGACATTTTATTAATGTTAATATTGTGCATTGTGTGAAAATAAGACAACTGCATATTGTGAAAATAAGAGTCCAGAGTCTTCTCAGTTCTGGTGTCTTGACAAGACTTGGCAATATGTTCCTACAAATATTTCATTTTGAAATGAAAGAGAACCAATTTATATAAAGATTAGTAAATCTAGGGTGTAATGGTTGGAAATAACTATTATAAATACCAATAACTGTTAGAAAAGGCTGGAGATTAAATTATATGCACATTTTAATGATCTATATTGAATGTTCATAAGGAGACATAAAATGATTTTACAAGAAAAACTGGCAATGATTTTTAAAGCATGGAGAAAAAAATCAATTGGTCATGAATCTTCTATACAAAAAGATATACATTGTTTCTCAAGTCTAGATCAAGTTCAAAATAAAATAATGCCTTAAGATATCCTTTTGTTTTCAAATGCTTGTGCATGAAAAGTTGACATCCCCTAGTTAAAAAGCCATTCACAAAAATAAGTATTACCATAGTTTTAGAACTATACCACAAAAAAGATACAGTGCATTTGACACCTCTAGATACCACCTAATTTAAATCTACATATTTATAACATCTGTGATGGAATTTTCTATAGTACTAAAAGTCATCTAAGAAAGTAAGGAAATCTTACCAATTTTAAGAAGGTTATTTTTCAAAAAAATATTCTTGGCTTTTAAATCCCTGTGAAGTATTCTCCTGAAACACAAAGGGGAATTCAATTTCATCTGATTTGGGGAAATTATAGTCAAATACACTAACCCAGCCACTTCCTTCATTAGAACGGTGTTACTAAAGGCCAGCCTGGCAGACTAGGACCCAGTCCTGCAACTCACAATACACAGGCACATCCCTGTACCTGGCTCCATTGCCTTCAATGGGGCTCCTTGTGGTGGAGAAATGCATCCATGTGCAATTATTTGCAGGATTAGGAACTAGGTACTGTGACAAAGTTCCTCCTCTATCTTGGTGGGTCCTGCGCTTATTGGCAGATTTTCTTGCCTCAGAGATTCACCATGTGGGTTGGGGAACAGCCCAGAGACCTTCCCCTCTGGGAGAACCCACAGTCCAGGTCAATTGGGAGGTTTGGGGGGGAACTACTCCGGGTTCCAGCCCAGGGCCCTGTGGACTGCAGCTGTCTGTAGTGCCTCCTG